ACGAGGTGTTACCCTACGTCACGTTTGCTTACAACACGGCGGTGCAAGAGACCACAGGAGTAACCCCGTTTCAGCTAATTCATGGCAGGAAAGTAGCGATCATGGTCGACGCGATGCTACCCCACGAGCCAGCTGACGATGGGAGCCCCGACGCCTAGGTGGTTGCTCAACGAGCCGAAGAAGTTCACCAGCTCGCCCGACTCCGAGCTCAAGATCAACAACATGTCGACGCTACCCGGTACAACCTTCGTCGTCGGGACGTCCACTTCACCCAGGAGATAGGGTATGGTTCTGGACACCGATTAGGCCGCCGGAGTTTCAGCGAGAAACTCCTGAAACGGTATTTCGGACCCTGCAAAGTACTTCGTCGACTTGGAGATCTAAACTACGAGGTGATGCCGGACGGAACAAGAACATCATCACGCCGCCCACCACAGCCTGAAGTGGTACACGTCATGCGCCTGAAGCCGTACTACGCTCGATAGGACTGTGGACCTTATGTGTTCCAAATGCCTTTTAGAGCGCAGCTCTTAGGGGCCCGTTCCCGGCTTGAGCGGCGTCGCCGTCGCCGTCGCCGTCGGCGTCGCCGTCGGCGTAACCAAGGTCATCCCAAGGTCACGCGACCCCCAAGGTCACGTGACCCCTCCCAAGGTCATCTCAAGGTCACGTGACCCCACGTGACTCCCAAGGTCACGTGACCCCTCGAGGTAACGTGACCCCTTCCAAGGTCATCTCAAGGTCACGTGACCCCAAGACCCCACGTGACCCTTTGAAGGTCACGTGACCCCCAAGTCACGTGACCCCTCTGAGGTCACGTGACCCCCAAGTCACGTGACCCCCAAGGTCACGTGACCCCTCCCAAGGTCATCTCAAGGTCACGTGACCCCAAGGTGACCCCCACGTGACCCCAGGTCACGTGACCCCTCTGAGGTCACGTGACCCCTCTGAGGTCACGTGACCCCCCGAGGTCACGTGACCCCCCTCCCCGAAGTCACGTGACACCCCCCTCCCCCCGAGGTCACGTGACCGCCCCCCCGGAGCATATTAAAGAATGAGGGGAGGAGGAGGGGCCTACCCTCCCCTCAGTACCCTTCACTCCTCCTCCTCAAGAGCTGCGCTCCAATTCGCGTTACAGGGATTTGTAAACGGCTTTCACTTTTTTTTAGTTTACCTTTATTTTAAGTTGCTTTGTTTTGTTTTGTGTTGCATCGGGGCGATGCACTTTTTAAAGGGGGAAGTAATGCCGCGCGCGCAGCTGGGGAGGTAGGCAGCGCGCGCTTGGCCTAACGGTTATTGTGCCTGTCTCGTACGCGAAAAGTCAGGGCTCGATTCCTGGCAGCGACGCATCTTTTGTTTATTCCTGCAATTTAGTGTTCTGGTAAATTCGAGAATCCTGTTGCTTGTTCGAGGTCCGAATGTTCTGCGCGTCGAACCTCCTACGCCGATTATTCCAGAAGTCCACGCATGTATATAAGGGGCTCCGCGTGGCGAGCCACAGTCAGTCTCGCCTCAGCGTTTGATCCTGCTGTTACGCCGTTATCAACACCAGCGACGCTCTCTCGTTATCTTCTGTCTCCTTTTATTTTCAGGCACAAGTTCGCCCCATTAGACGTTTAGTTTGTCTTACACTCTTAAAAAAAAAGGAGTCCAAAGGGACTCACTGCTTCCATGGCTCTCTTTGACACTTCACGACTCTCTTAGAGAGTCAATTTTTCGTGCCACTCTGTTTTGACTTTTCCCCTTCTCAACGGGAGTCACAGGTCAGCAGCATTTGCCATACCGAAAAAAAAAAAACAGTATGAATGCTGCTTCGGGGCGTCCAGCCGGCAACCCAAGCTTCGCTGTTTCGCTATGCACCTCTAGGAAGGGAGTCCGACACCATTTAGTTCAAAGCTTTGTCGACATTTTGTTTTTCAATAATAATTGTGCAAAAAAAATTAAAAAGGAAAGGAAAAAAGAAAGAATGCACAAAGTTCCGTCGACATTCATTTTTCTCAAGAATAATTGTACAAAAAACAAAACAAAAAAAAAAACGTTTATTTTTTGCATCGAACCTGGGTTCGCTCTGTAAGAAGCGGGCATCTTTCCACATAGCTATACCTAGGGTGTGTACTCTCCGGTGTTTATTTGTGAGAAAAATCGGCGGATGTTTTTCGGTGTTTATTTATTTTCAAAACACCGGTGTATTTCGGTGGAACGTGTTACGACGAGGCTAAAATCGGTGATTATCGGTGAAAAAAAAGGCGATTGATCACAGACAAAGAGTTCCAATTTTATTCACATAGTTCATACACTTCTTCTCTAGGAAGCAACTAATTCTCACACTTGGTTATCATAGTAGATGCAAGCATACTTTCATGCTTGCATCTACACGCAAGGAACGTGCTGCCGTCATGGCAGCACTTTCCTTGTGGTTCGCAACCCGCAATTATGAAAACGCACGCTCCTGTACGACACGGACGTTGGCAGTGTCTTCCAGGAACCAGAGCAACCTCTGAATACATGGCTTGAACCGACATCACTTGGCCAGACACAATGAGGAAAAGGCACGTGAGAGCCTACGCCCCACTGCGTTAGTTTTTCCACAAAATGGGGCCATGGGAGACACAATAGGTGACAGGCGTATGAGAGCTTAGCTTCCACTGCGTTCACTAGACGCTTTTGACCCCCAGAAAGGAGGGCGGACTGACGCCACCTGCAAGCCATGTATAAACACTGGCAGAATGCAGGATGCACGAGATAACACGTTTGACGAACCTCTACGGGGAAAGGGTTTCGCTAAGTCGGAAACTAGCAACGACCGGTGTTTTTCGGTTTTAACCTGGGCGAAAATATCCAACCACCGGTGTTTTTCGGTTTTAACCGATTTTATATTTTCGTCACCGACGGATGTTTATCGGTGTTTTTCGGTGAAAACCGGAAAATACACACCCTAGCTATACCTGCGAGTACTCGTTTTGAGAATTCGTTTTATACGGGATTCCACAAGTTTCGCGTCTTGCATATTATTCGAAACCGAATCCTGCGGCTGCATTTTACATATTTCTGGAACTGTCACGGCGTGCGTCTTTGGGAGTGAGTGAAGGTGCAGCAGCTTATTCAAGACTATACTCCGTTTCAAACGTAGCATGCAACGCAGTCAAAGCTAGCGCACCGGTTTGCATCGCCGACCGTGTCTACGTTCACCCCATAAAATAGTGCGTCCCCTGCGAAAACACTTATAAAAAAGTCGAAAAATATGCCTCCTTGGAGCTAGCAACTGATAGTGGTGTTATGATTTCGACGGAGCACAAATTTTTTTCAATAAAAAGAAAAAGATAATGTAAACTACTTTAAATTGTTTTCGTTTTCGTCCGTGCAACAGCCGCTGCGGGTTTTCGCGTTGTGTGGCACTGGCTGGTTTTGAGAAGATGGCGTCTTATGCAACAAGCTCAAGTACCTCTCCTGCTCGGATATTTTCGAAGATTTGTTGTGCGCAGACCTCGAAAGAGTGCAAGCAGGTGATCGCCAACGTGTACGCGAGTACAAGAGCGCGTTTCCCGAAGATGTCGGTCGTGAAGTCCTGGAGACGGTCAGTAACAACACCGGAGTGTGCGCCCATACTGTCGCGAAGTACAAGGCGCAGTGTCTATCTGGCAAGCTGGCGTCCCCGAAGCGAAGACCTCGCCATGTAGAAGTTTCGAGCACGGGGACTGTGAAGCATGCCGAATTCACACACAACACCATTCGCCTGAAGGTGCATCGCAAGTACCCCGAGAGGGGGATTCCTCTCTTTGACAGCTATTTCAAAAAAACTGTTCAGTCCACAACTATTGTCGATTAACGTCCTATTATAAATTTTGGGGTAAGGCTGCTATCAGGGAGATTCCTGATTCCACGCTGCACGAAAGAAAAATATAACTCGGTGCTGGAGGCAAATAACACTTGCAAAGCGGCAGAGCAGATGGTAGAAATGTGGCCTTTCGGCGACTTATAAATAAAAAGCAAAAAGAAAGGAGGAAATGAAATATGCAGTTCGGCAATGCGCACAATCTTGCACAAGAAATATGTCTAAAAAAGAAAAAAAAACTGCGCGTCTAGTGGGTTTGAACCACTGCCGCCGAGACGTCGGTATTGCCAGAGCAGCGCTACCACTCGTCCACGAAACGCGCCGAGGAACACATTTTGTTTTCTGTATTTTCATGCGCACCACTTCAGTACCTTTGACGGCTTTGCACGCTATGTATGAAAATGGTTATAAGTGCCGATTTTGAGAACCACACCACCACACTGCGAGTTGCAGCAACGCCGAAGGCTCACGTCTCGCAGCGCCGCCTGTTGAATAACCATTCGAAGTGTTTGCACACTGTGAAGGTAAGAGCGCTCACACCGAAGAGCTCTCTTTACAACGCCTACACACACACACAGAGCTTTTTAACAGCCACTGATCGTAGCAATCGCATTTCAAAGACGCCGCGTTGTCGTAGATTGTTTTTCACCAGCTAGGTCCTGTAGAAATGAGGCCAAGGCCAAGGCTGGAGGATTCATCGCCGGAAACGTAAAGGAACCAAGCAAACGACGCGAGGCTCGCAAACGCGATTCGTGGGAGCCGACGACATCCAACCCACGATCCAAGCCACGATCCCTAGTAGCAGCTTTGCTGCCGAGAAGAGTGTATATTCTTTCCGGCGGGCACACAATACTCCGACAGCATGCTTGCGTCTGATGTGGATTGCAGAAGGTGGCTAACAGGGTGACCAATGCACAGGAAATAGGTTGATCACGACACAGCACGCAACGATTGTCGCCGCCACGTTGAAATAAACCAAGCTGAGACAGGCCAAGCTACAGTTTAGTACACAACGAAGCTGAGCCAGGCCAAGGTTCAGTTTAGTAAACAACCAAGATACTTCATTGCAAAGAATTAAATAAATGTTAAAACAAATATTTTTACGTTTCAACCCCCTGATCAGATCAGAAAACGTTTATTGGGCTAAAAAAAAAAAAAAAAAAGAAAAAGCTAGTGGTCGGTTTTCCCTAGTCCAGGATGCCGTTGGCTTCCGCCGCCTTGCAGGCCCTTTCAATCAGGAATTCCTGATTTTCCAGGTCGCTGCACGCTAGCTTGGCCTCCCACTGCTGCCGACTGTTGTCTTGTACCGTAGGAAGTGTGGGGTTTCGGGTGCATTCCCACGTGGAGTGGTAGAGGGTCGCCCTGGCTTGGCACCAGGGACACCTGTCCGAGTATGTTTCCGGGCTTATGTGGTGGAAGCGTAGCAAGCTGGGGAAGGTTCCCGCCTGCAGCTGTCGCCACCTGACGGCCTTGTTTCTGCTGAGCTTGGGGTGCGGGGGTGGGAGACTCATTCTCCCCGCTTTGTAGTAGTTGAGTACGCTGCTGTAGGTTTGAGGTACTGGTTCCGTTGGCCCGCTCGCTTCTTCCGCCGCTCGGTTGGTGTATGCTCGAGCGACGGCGTCTGCGATCAGGTTACCGGTCAATCCCTCATGCCCTGGGATCCAAATGATTTTGTGGATCACGCCTTCCTTCCAGGCGCGTTCTAGGGCTGCTGCTGATGTCTTATTGATAAAACCCCACAGGTAGTTCCTGCAGGCATTTTGTGAGTCGGTTAGGATCGTGTAGGATTTCTTTGTCCTGTAGCCGTGGATCATGGCGAGGGCGATGGCGTGTTCTTCCGCCCCCTCCATGCTGGCGTTCTTGATGGAGCAGCTGGATATCTCGTCGTATGCGTGGTCCAATGCCACAGCTACCTTGGCATCCCGGCGGTAGTCCCCTGCGTCCACGTATACGAATGTCTCGTTGTCTTTGCCTTCACGCTCATAGTATTGCGCTCTTGCTCTTCTTCTTCCCCGGTGCATGATGGGGTTCATGTGCTTCGGTATGGGCCTAACTATGTAGGTTCCCTTAACTCCGGCGCTCAGTTCCCTGGAATTTTGGATAACTTCTGTACAGTCGCCGTACCCGAGCTTTTGTATAAGCTGTCTGCCAGTCCCGCTCTTCTTTAGTCTGCTTCGTTGTGCCATCAGTAGGGCTTCCTTGTGTTCCTGGAAGGTGTTGTGCACCCCCATTTGTTCTAGTTTTGCAGTAGGGGCGTTCTGCGGAAGCCCGAGCGCTATCTTGTATATTTTTCTGATGAGGACTTCGACCTGCTCTTGTTCTTTCATGTCGAGGTAGTGATACGGTAGACTGTACACTACTCTGCTAATAACCAGTGCTAGTATAAGCTTCATGACGTCCTTTTCCTTGAGCCCTCTTCTCCGGTTCGTGATCCTAGTGATCATCTTGGTCACCTGTTCAGTAGTTTTCTGTAGTAATTGTATGGTGCGCGTGGCTTTCCCGTTATGCTGGATCCACATGCCCAGGATTCTCATCTGCTTGACCTCGGGTATGTCTTGTCCGTCCAGAGATACATTAATGGGTACTCCTCGGTCGTATCCATTCCTGTGAATCCTTATAATTTCGGATTTCTCTGGAGAGCACCTCAGTCCGCGGCTCTTCACGTACACATGGACCGTGTCTGCGGCTCTCTGGAGTCTCTCTTCCTTCTCGCCGAGGGATCCTTCGGTGGTCCAGATCGTGATATCGTCAGCATAAATTGCGTGTCTTATCCCTTCAATCTTTTCTAGCTCCACCGGAGTCTCTCTTCCTTCTCGCCGAGGGATCCTTCGGTGGTCCAGATCGTGATATCGTCAGCATAAATTGCGTGTCTTATCCCTTCAATCTTTTCTAGCTCCACCGGCAGGTCCCTGAGTGCCAGGTTGAACAGCAGCGGCGATAGGACCGCACCTTGCGGGGTGCCTCTGTTGGGGACGCTAGTTTCTTTCGATTTTACGTTGCCGATGGTTATGGTTGCCGTCCTGTCCGTGAGAAACGTCTTGACATATTCGAAGGTTCTCTCCCCGCAGCTGATCTTGTTGAGGCTCTCTAATACTGCCTTGTGCGAAACATTATCGAAAGCGGCTTTTAGGTCCAAGGCCATCACGATGTTTTCGCCGTACTTGGGGATGTTGTTGTCCCCAAGTACTTCTTCCTTTAATTGTAGAAGCACGTCCTGGGTGCTTAGGCGGGCCCTGAATCCGAACATCGTGTCGGGCATCAGGTTCTCTTCTTCGAGGTGTCTCACGAGCCTTCCCTGCACCATCCTCTCCATGAGCTTGCCCATGTTCGACGTGAGAGAGATGGGTCTCATGTTCTCTATACCCGGGATCTTTCCGGGTTTGGAATGAGTTTTATCTCAGAGTGCTTCCATTCTCCGGCTAGGGTTCCCTGGTTCCAGTTTTTGTTGTAGAAGTTGGTTAAGTTCGTTTGCTGCTCGCAGCCCAGGTTCTTGAGCATGGCATTGGTGACTTTGTCTCTTCCCGGGGTAGTATTTTTTGCGTCTTGTACAGCTGCGATCATTTCGGCCTCCTCGAACTCCCGATCCAGCTTCTCGTTGGCTCTTCCCGTGTACCGTATACATCTCGCCTCGTCTTGTGGTGGTACAGGCTCACCAATATATTTCTTTTTGATCTGTTTCAGTAGATCCTCGTCAGTTCCCTTGTAGGAGTGGACGATCTTTAGGGTCGTTTTGCATCCTTCTGACTTGGTTTGCGCTGGGGATACCAGGTGGTGTAGTAGTCTCCACGTCTGAGCAAGTCCCAAAGTTCCCTGGAGGGAGTCGCATTTCTGGTCCCAGTTCTGCTGGGCTAATTGCGTGGCGTATTCTTCGGTCTGTTTGTTTAGCACCGAGATGCGGAGCCTGAGCTTTCTGTTGTGCTTTTGTTTCTTCCACCTTTTGACTATTCCCTTTCTCTTTTCCCACAGCCCAAGAAGGTGCGTATCCACCCCCGGTATGGCCTCGGTTAGGCTAATCTCCTTGGTGCAGTGCGCTTTGGTGGCTTGTAGCTCCGCCACCCACGTCTCCAGGTCCTCAATACCTCCTTCCGGTCCGAGGTGTCTGAACTTGTTCCAGTTGGTCATTTTCGAGGCGCCAATCTTGCGTCTGTTAGTGCTCGCTTCCACACTTATCTCTATGATTGCGTGGTCGCTGCCGATCGTTTCCTCGGTATTCTTCCAGGTAACCTTGTGCTGGTCCAGATTTTTTATCATAGTGAGGTCTGGGTTAGTGTCTCTGTTGATGCTGTTCCCAGTGCGTGTGGGTCTGAGTAGGTCGTTGATGATCTCCAGTCTTTCGTTGTCGATCGCTGCTGCCAGTTGCTTTCCTTTCTTCGAGTCCTCTTGGTACCCCCAGCTCGTGTGTCTCGCGTTAAAGTCGCCGACCAATACGAGTGCGTTGCCTCCAACGATCTTGCTCGCTTCTCGGAACAGGGACCTGAAGTCCTGGACGACGTATCTCGGCGGGCTGTATACGTTTAACACGAATAGACTCTTGTCTTTCTTTTTTTTGGGTATGATTTCGAGTAGAACATGTTCCACCCCTTGCTCCTTGAGCTTGTGCTCTATGGCTGTGAGGTTCTTGCTTATCAGAGTCGCCGTTCTTGGCTTATGTTTTAGGCTGACCAAGGTGGTGTACCCCGAGATCTTAGGTACTCCGCTGACCTCTTGAAGTGCAATAATATTTGGTCTGATGATTTGGTTTTGTATATGAAAGTTGAAGTTGCTTTGCTTCTGTTTGTGTCCCCTACAGTTCCATTGCCAGATGATTGTAGGTGCCTGTGGTATTCTGATCTTTTTCTTGCGCTTAGTCGTAATCATGTTGCGTCTTTCCCATGTCTACAACCAAGCTCGAGTCGCTCTCATAGTTTGATTCGTCCTTGCTGTAGGGGTTTTTTCTCCTCTTGTTGGGTGGGTTTTCTTCTGCCCCCCTTCCAATTTGAAGGTTCTTGAACATGTCGGTCATCCATTTTTGTATCTCCTGTTTCAGTTCTTTTATCATTTCTTGTTTCATCTCTTGCGCCTCGTTACTCGGAGTCTTGGGTACCGGTGTTTCGCCTCTTGGTTTCGGTTTTGCTCGGTATGCCGGTTTCTCACTGTTTTTTCTTTCCGTTTGCGTCTTGAGCGCGTTCCTGAGTTGCTGGATTTCGTTTCTCATGGTGGCCATTTCATCCTTCATCTTCTCCACCTCAGCTTCTTTCCTTCCAAGATGGGCCCGTAGCCTCCTTGTTTCTTCAGTTGGGCCTTTTCCCATGGTTGCCGTCGTCGTCGTTGCCGCTGCTGCCCACGGGCTGGCTGGTAGCTGCGGATAGTCCTCTTCTGTATACTTCTTTCGGATGACTTCATTGCGTCGTGTCTCGGGTGGCTGACGTGCATTTTTTTTTAAAACCTGCTTAGCTGGGTCCTGGTGTGGTGGGAACCCAGCGACTGACCCGAAAGGGGCACGGCACCCTAATATATAGGCTCCGGCCCCCTGGCGGCGACCCCGCTCGTCCCCACGGTAAGAGTGCGGTGGAGGCGAGAGGGGCCGTCGGCCGGGTTCTGGTCAGTGGGCACCCACCCAACCCATCCCGCTTTATTGAGCATAAGTACAGTTGCTGCCAGGGCTTCCGGCGGCGTGAGGATGTGTCCATGTCCCTTTGTGAGGGCTTGGTAGACGGCCCGGTTGTCTGTCACAACTCTGGTGCGTGGTGGCGCGAGGAGGAGGGCCAGTAGAACCGCCCAGAGTTCTCGAAGATAGATCGGGACAGGCCGGGACGCAATGATGGCGATGTTGCCCTCGGGAAGACAGATGCCAATACCAGATGAACTGGCATCCGCGAAGACGTCACGTTCCACCGGGACAATGTCAAATGGTACGGCAACAGGCAAACACTGAACAACATACTCGAAAAGCTGGAGCCAAGAACGGGAAGGGTGGGCGCCAGTGGCGGCCGCAACATGAAGGGGCCGTAGGGCATGAAAATGGGAGGAATAAAGTGAAAAATAAAATCCCCAAAAGCCAGCTGCTCGCTGGTAAACTTTACGAGTCTGGGGATAATGAAGTGCACGAAGGACAAGAAGAAGGTCCTGCCGCCTCGAGGGCGTATGGCCGATGGTACCTGTAGTTCCATCAAGAAAAAAGCCTAGGAACTTAACGTGTGTGGAGAGGGCGAACATGGAATCACTAGGATTCAAACGAATGCCTGCCTCAACGAGCTGGTCAAGAAAAAGGTCAAGTTGGTCCTTCAAAAAGTCCGGGTCGGGGTGTGCAAATAAAAAATTGTCTAAGTAAGACCAAGCCCACAGGCCACGGGAGCGTGCCTCACGAGTAAGGGCCGTTGCCAAAGATTGCATAGAAAAGGGAGCGGGCCTTATGCCGAAAGGCAAAACTTTGTAGCGATAATATCGGCCGTCCAAACGGAAAGTGGTGAGGGCTCGTGTGGCTCACGGCCGATATTATCGCTACAAAGTTTTGCCTTTCAGCATAAGGCCCGCTCCCTTTTTTATGCAATCTTTGGCAACGGCCCTTACTCGTGAGGCACGCTCCCGTGGCCTGTGGGCTTGGTCTCACTTAGACAATTTTTTATTTGCACACCCCGACCCGGACTTTTTGAAGGACCAACTTGACCTTTTTCTTGACCAGCTCGTTGAGGCAGGCATTCGTTTGAATCCTAGTGATTCCATGTTCGCCCCCTCCACACACGTTAAGTTCCTAGGCTTTTTTCTTGATAGAACTACAGGTACCATCGGCCATACGCCCTCGAGGCGGCAGGACCTTCTTCTTGTCCTTCGTACACTTCATTATCCCCAAACTCGTAAAGTTTACCAGCGAGCAGCTGGCTTTTGGGGATTTTATTTTTCACTTTATTCCTCCCATTTTCATGCCCTACGGCCCCTTCATGTTGCGGCCGCCACTGGCGCCCCCCCCCCCCCCCCCCTTCCCGTTCTTGGCTCCAGCTTTTTGAGTATGTTGTTCAGTGTTTGCCTGTTGCCGTACCATTTGACATTGTCCCGGTGGAACGTGACGTCTTCGCGGATGCCAGTTCATCTGGTA